TCTGCGCAAATCTCGACAAATGAACTCCGCTGTGTCATTTACACGGAAGACTCAATAGAGAGATCGCGCGAGTGTAACGGCGCTAATATACAAAATGTGTATTAATTCTAGAAATGTATTGTATCTATACACGACGACAATGCTTACACGTGAACAAATTATAGCCGTTAAACTGGCGAGAGAGATTTACTTTGTAAATTATAAACACGGTAGTTATCGAATTAATGTATAGATTTACATCTAGCCAGAGAGCACCTCGTAGTCGGTCCCTTGATGATTTTATGAATTCTACAGCGTAAACAAATATATCGAAACGATTGAGTGAATTCGTTGAATGCTTATTAATAAAACGCATAAAAATTAGATTGAAAAATTGAAAGAACATGTGGTATAAGTTAATTATTCAGATTAACCATTATATATCGAAATGTATAGTTGTAAAAACACGATTGCGTTCGAAGAATTGAAGAGAAACCACATTACGTATAGACGATGCTAATTTAAATATATAGGATGTCTTGCATACAAGCATCGCGCATATTTTCTGCCGACTGTTCGTTGACAATAACGCAATCAATTTGAGCGAAAATCTCAGGAATGCTATGCCATATATATACATATTAGTTTTTAACAGTGAATACATCAAAATAATTAAACTCAAGCTCGTATACCCTTGCTATAAAAACTCCATTCGGAATCAAGAAAAATATTGTTATCAAATAAACTCTAAACTCGTAAACTTATTTTTATTCAAATCGTCAACGCTTTAAGTTTCTTTTGTAAATTCTACGAATATCTCGATACAACAACAGCTTTACAACAACAGCTTTCCTTTATATTTTGCCTCTATAAGATCTGTAATATTTGAAGAAAGTGCGCGATGCTGATAGACCCTGTATATTACATATTATAGTGAACGTCCCATACGTACGTGTACACTATATATATTGGATTATATTTTATTTTTAAATATATGTCTCTCATCTGAAAAAGAAAAAGAATGTTGTATTTCCCTTCGCCTGGCAAATTTCAAATCAGTGCAATCAATACAAAACGAAAAATTTAATAAAATATAATTTGTTTGGCATCATATCTTCAACTGAAAAAGAATTAGCTTTGCAGTAATTTCACGTACTCGTAAAAACACACGTAACTTTCTTACTCTACCTGAAAAATATTTATATCACATTTTTTATATTATTTCTCGATTAAATCTCGATTGTTTGCAGCCTACTAATGTATAGAATTCAAGTTATTTTTTTAAAGGAACAGGAACTTTTAGATAATAATCATCAGACAGGAACACTGTGAGTGGGAGACATTGGAGCATCTGAAACGGAAAACGTAAGAGAGAAAATAACAGCCGCCCCAGGGTTTTATTTAATCTTCATAGATTTATTTACATTTTGGTAATATATAACTTACGGCGCCACGCAATTTGTAAGAATAGTAGATAATGATAAAGTTTCATATATTATTTATAAAATCGCCTGGTACCTGCACTCTCTAATATGTATAATATATATATATTTCGTATAATATTTACAACACCAATTAGAAAAGCTGGCTTGTACATTCCCTGCAGATATATATATATACAGCATTTCTCTTCACATATACTCGAAAAGATAGTAACAAACTACTAGTTGCACTATTGGAACACAGTGATTCCTACTCTCCAGTGGAAATACACAAAGTAACAAGTCCTCTTTCGCAACATTTGTCCTCGTATCTATCTTTCATTTAATCTGCATAACGACCCTACGGATGCCCTTCGCACTACTATTGCGTTCATAACAGCGCAAATTTCGCAAAGAGATGTCTGTTACTCAACATGATTATGAATCGAAAGAAGGGAGAAAGATTACGTAAATTCATATAAAATTCCCCACTAAGAGCATCGATCTAGAAATTCTGTTCGTATTTTGATTATTGTACTGCAACGGCGTAAAAATAGTGTGTCGGCAAATGTGAATGGAATAAATCACAATGATCTACATTATCTCACGAAGGCGACTATACCAGATTACCGGGATCGCACTTGAAATAAAGAATCCAAACGCGATATTTATTCTACTTTGAGCGTAACTATACGGCAAAAGAATGATGTGTTCTCTATGTAAAATCGGTATTCGCATATTTTGCCGCGCGTCAGAGTGTTACACAAGCAAATTACTCACCCCATGCTTCAGCTTATTTAGCGCAAGTTCGTGCTACCGGTTAAAAGAAACGAATGTATTGGTCAAACACCATTGGAGGTCGGCGTGCTGCTGTGAACCGGCGCCCGCAATAAATCATGATATTGTAGCAGGGCCTCCCGTAACGACCTGGAGACCTGTCCAGAAGTTGTCGCTATTGTGCATTCCACCAAGCATGGGTATAGTCCGATCAGTTGCTCCCACACTGATCTTTCGACTAAAACGTAAACGATCATTCATTACATATGTACGATAACATATCGGTATCTCGCGCACTCGGACTTTCTGAAAAATAAAAATATACCTTTATTAGGTGGCGCTTTCTTGAGGGACACTACGAGAGTAGCGACAGCTTTCAGGACAAACGATATCTCCGACAATCTGTACCTAGAAAAGGGATCTATAATAAGTACTTAAAATGGCTTCCGCATTTCCGTATGATACCAAGTATTTATTAAAAGTAAAAAGTTCAAGCGACAGATAAGACCTATTATGCGCCCGCTAGAATGAAGCAAGAGCACTTTTGGCTGATTGAAAGGCCACAATACGTTTACAGTACTATTACCTAGGCAGCGGGCACTTCCCGCTTCGCCTTTCGCTCTCGATATATCGCCGGAGAACTTCTTGAAATCTGTGCAAAAGTGCCGTAACCGCCAATCGCCCAGCGATTCCACCTTCATCGTTTTCTGGATTCCTCTTCGGGCTATTCTCCGCGTCATTGTTTAATCCATCCAACAGAGAAAATTGCAGGAGAGTCTCGAAGCATGTTTTCGCAAATTCCTCACGCAACTTCGTTTCCGCGCCATTTTCTGTGAAAAACGAAAAGCCGGTTAAAGGGATTTCATGTATTCATCACAGTACTTTACAATGAATTTAAATACTATACGCACCGATATTCGCCGTGGTAGCTGAATGTATGGAACCCTTATTTAAGAGCATAACGACTCTCAGTATAAACTGATGAGGTATATGTTGAGAGTGTGGTAATACCTCGTCCCTCAATAATTCCATAACCTGACAGTCGACTGCCTCGTCGGCCTGGATTTCTTCAACCCCGCGTTCTACATTCAGCACACTGAAATTGACCGGACAAAATCCATCCTCGCGTACTAGTATTTTAGGAACAGCGGTACAACAAAGAAATCGTTAAACATGAACTCGCGAGAGTTTACCTTTTGGGGAACAAGAAATCATCCAACGTGCTCGCCAGTTCGAGCCACATACTCTGGAATTGCTCGGGATACTTCCTGGCGAGCGGCAGCCCGGTGTGCAGAACAGCTAGTAGACTGGTAACGGCCAACTTCCACGTAGTCGCGGATGGACACGCGTATTTCATAGACAACGGCACATGCAGCGCTTCCACGATGTGCTTCAGAACCTGGCCGTCGATCACAGCCATCTCGTGCGCGGTCTTCTGATACAAGCTCACGACCATCGATAGCGCTTTCTCGCCGAACGGAACGTAATTCATCGTGACCCAATCGGTAGCCTGAAGAAAATGACACGTACTCAAGTTACCTTACACGGTCACCATGTACCAACCACAAGTCCAAGTTGTGAAGTCCAAGTACGCACAGACACGCCTCTAATTTGGGAGATGTGTTTCGTTGGTATTTTACCGTAGATGGGCGCCTCGCATGCCAGCTTCGAAAAGCTCAGTAGCTGAAGGAATATTAGCACGATCATCGTCCGTAAGTTGTCGGGGCCGTTTAACGCTTCCTGTGAAAATGATGGGGCCATGAGACGCGGTTCGCGAAGTTGGAGCGTCTCGAGATACGTGAAGGCACCGGGCAGAATCTACCTAAGCGTACCTTTTGCAGAAGCTCCATAGAATGCAGCACTCCGTCCTGCAAGTGAGTGAGAACTACGTCCGGCACTGACGGCACGATGTAAGGCGTCGACTCGCCGTGTACCGGAACGGCTACCGCGTTCTTCAGTACGATACATAATTTTTGCAGATCGGGTCCGGTGAACCTGCGTGAATGTGTGAGTGTATTTTCGTGTGTTCGGCTTATCTTAACATCTCCTCATAAATACGAGCGCAAATACACGTCCGATAATGTCTTATCGCTCAGGAACGATAAACGTGACAAAGTACACGTATGAACGCGATTACACACTTGTTTCTAATATGCTGGAAAACGGCCGGGAATATGTGCACCAGCGCGGTGAGGAACGCCTGCGATGGCACGTAAGGCTCGGTGTCACTCTCCTGCGGCGGAGTAGTGCTCTCCATCCCGATGTTGAGCCACACGCGCCACGCTACGACCCACAGGCCTTCCGAGTCGTTCGACTGAATTACCTCGGTATTGTCGCTTCCCTTCTGAAGATAGAGAATCTCTTGGAACGATTTCAACGCTGCCAAGGATACCTGCAAGGTTCAACGACGGGTTTTGAGCAATTAACTCGACTCAGACACAAGTTATGCAATCGCTACGGCGCGTTGCGACACGTACCTCGTTATTCTTACTGAGTGCGGAGTTTTCTATGAATTCGAGCAGCAGCGACCATGCTCTAGGAAAATCTCCCAACATTTGTAACAGTTGACGTTTCGTATTGAACACTCTAGCTACGCCGCTTAACGTTAAAACCTGTAGAATTTTGTTTTTCATTAGGAAAAAAGAAATGTCATCACTTTTATCGAGAAATTTGTAACAGAGTTACGCTATGAAAAATGTAAAATAATATATTTTCACCTGTGTTTCCGCCCATTGTTTTTGTGCTGTGTTCCTGCTGTGATGAATAAGTATGTTTCCACTAGTGTCGACCTTTTCGCTACTAGCCGAATTAGACAGACTTCTCACTTTGTCTAGCAATGGAAATAGCACTTGCCAAAGCACCGCTTGCCATGTTGGTTGATGTAACAAGCTACCGTGCGCGGATATAGTAGAAAATAAAGTCTGACTCGCTGATTTGCGCACAGCAGGTCGCGAATCGACGCATAAATCCCCTTTAAAAAAATTTAAATAAAACGTGACATCACGTATGTAGTACTAAAGATTTTGTTGCAACATACAACACTTTTAATTTCGTTCCAGAGAGGCATATGTTATTACCTAATCTTGCGTATAGACACATCCACAGTTTGTCGAACGCCGGCATGTTTGTCGTGCCGGGAAAGTCAGGAAACACTGACGACGAATCTCCGCGTAAACAAACACATAATTTCTCTTTATTTTGGAAAAAGTAATCGCTGATATTCCACTAAAGAAAAAAAGCATTTGTCAGATTTTATCACATTACTTTCATAATATTTGCGCTTAAACACTTTATTAAAAATCGATTTGCTCTCTCCTGTTCTTACCATTAGACCGACAGCTGTAAGTGAGATATTCAATTCTTGTGTTTGTGATCCAAATTTAGCGGCTGTATCGACGCACAGCGGAAGACATCGCCAAGGCATCGCCGGTAAAAAGTCCGTTACAACCAACTGCAGACACTGGAAAGCTATGCGAACTAAAGCTTCGCTGAAAAGATCAGAGAACATATTTTGTTACGTGCCAGTGAATTTTTCCTTTCGACATCAGATATTTCGATATCTATTCTCACGACTCATTACCCATGATGATCAGAAACTGCTCCTATAATACCAAGGACCAAAGGCCAGCCATGATACAATGTCTCTCCTGCGCCATGAAGCACTTGTAAAACACACTCCAATTGTCGCTGTCTAACATCTCCGTGACGCACAGACGATAACTCTGATAGTGGTCCTAATAGTAATGTTTGCAATTTCTACACACACAAAAGAACGAGCATCACGTAAATATTTCGAAAGTCCAACTCTCTTTTTATACATGAGTTTTATATATATAATATTTTACTATTATATTCATATCGTACCTGATTATCGCGAAGTGGTTGCGGGTACTTGTGCTGGAGAGCCATCTTAACAAGGTACGTGATCGCTTCCACTCCCCATTCTCTCATACGAATGTGCGGATGTTGACAAACTTCCAACAAATGATTTGTCAATGGCCGCCAGAGTACCTCCACGCGCGGTAAATTCACCAAACCCGTTTCCAGAAGTTTCGCAACGGCGAACAGTGACGGTTCCTGAATCAAAGAAAAAGATCCTCAGAAAGCTGCTATTTTCGACAGCTTAAAAAGTAAGTCACGTTAATCGTCAGTAATGTTAATGACTTCAAGGGAACTCTTGCAACACAGAAGAACACATATAAAGAATACGTGTTTGACTTACGCGATTCGAATACGCCAACTCCATAGCCTCGTGACTCAGTTTACACAGGGCGTCTATCAAATGATGCAGAGCCACATCGTCTAGATGTTGACTGCTTTCAAATAATCTACTGAGCATAGCGCTGAGTACTGGCAAATCCGCCATAACAGCGTTCGTAAGCACGGCATTTGGATCGGCCGCAGTTCTCCCAGCTTTCAGCGATCCTCCGGTAGATGGCTTGAGACCAAGTATCCAAACGAGATGTTGAAGAGTGGTAAGTACCAAGTGCCACGCACTGCCGAGTATGCTGCCATGGCAATGAGCCAACGATAACAATGCGCGCATGCATTGCAAGTTTTTCGCGGTCAACATCACAGGGCCTTGATGTGCGCCTGAATGTACACAATATAATGAGAGAGTCGAATCGGATGAAAACTGAACGCATTATAACTCAAAGCATCATCCTACCGATTGGCAAGGACGCCGTTGGCAACGGCGTGCCAACGGCGACCACTTGCTGCCTGTAATCCGGCTCGCCCATAGTCAGGTTGTACTGCGAAGAGTCTTGCTGTCTCGCGGTCGGTATACCTTGAGGTGCGTTGTAAAGTACCGTTAATGCGTAATGAGGCGGCAATGAGGCCTTGCAAATCGCGGTGATGAAGGCGTCGCGCGGTGCTTGCAGCTCCAATTGGCCACAAAGCGACGCGAACGTTTGGATCGCTTTCAAGACGTTTTCCGTTGCGGACTCGTCCGTGCTGTGGATCCAAACACAATCGATCAGCGCGCGAACTCCTTTCGGATGCAACGTAAAATTTACACGACGCCATTACCTGGCGTCTATTAACGGACTAAGAGCTGCCAATAGTCCGCACCAACTCGAGTTGATCAATTGTACATGAAGCTTTCGTTCGGCTTCGTCCGGCTGATAAGTTTGATCCTCGCCGTTATCCTCCTTCGACGTTCCATTTATGGCCAGCGCGATCGATCTTATGATGTCTAATAGGCACGCGTAAGCTATACTGATTCCGTAACCGATTGGTATTTGTGGCGGTTCGACTTTGTCCAGCATTTCCAAACTGGAACAATCGTGTGAGTGTTAGCCATCGACATTTAAAAATTCGTCATTATAAGAGCTAATAATATGAAGAGCTCACTAAGTTGGTTTGGCTTGTCCGCTTGTAAACGTTGCTACTACTGGTAACCAGATGCCGCGCGAATAGAACCCAGGTTGGGGTGACACGCCGGGTCCGATCGGCATTGCTGTGAATAATGGCGATCCTGTGCCTTGAGGTACGGTTGTGCTCGTTGCTGTTTTAACGAGATAAAGAGCTATTGTATAACAGCCAATAGAAACAGAATGTTTCGCGATCAATACTTGCAAAGTTGAGAAACTATTCAGCGAATTGCATTATGTAAAAATGGAGCATATTGGATGCATATACTATATATGTATGTGTATGTGTGTGTAACACATTTGTACCTGTCTGGCTCATCATCTGTGGGTTCACAAAGAGGCTATGTACATAAGCGCCTAAACTATTGACGATATCCTGGAAAATGTTTGTAGCGTGAGGTTTTAAGTCGTAACATTCGCAAAAGTTTGTCAGCAAATCTGCCTGCACAGTCATTTTGTGCAAAACTTCCAGTGCTAAAGCTCTCTGCCAAGTGGGCTTATCAGGATCCAAAAATTTCACAATCAACGATAGGAATATCTCGCACTCTGTCACCTGCAATATCAGAATGTTTTTCGAAGATTAAACTGAATTAATTGACATTGAATCCTACAAAATCCTCCCGGCAAAGTAGCCATGCAGATTCTAACACTTACCAGCAAGGAATGATATTTCTGTATCAAAATAGACACAACTCGCAAGAGTCTCATACTGATAGGGAAGTAAGGTTTATCCAACGGCGTAGCCTGTTGCAAAGAGGCTGGCACTGAATTACGATATTTGATGTTAGGCGAGAAGAGTTTTATCACGAGCGCGCATACTCTCTCCTTCAGTAAGAAACTAAATTCCGGATGCTAAAAATAATACATTCATAATATATGATTTTTGCATAGAATAAAAAATGGATTTTTCCCACAATTTTCATATTCTTGAAAACACGAGTCCCTTAAGTTTTTACTCTTTCTAAGAATGTATTACCTTAAAAAAGACCGATGAAAAGTTTGTTAAAACAGATTCTAGTAGCTCCAAACCAAAAGTCCTAGTCATCTCAGTAATGCCTATTAGCCAATATGGTTGATCAGCATTAACCAACTGAACTAAGTCCTACAATCAAACATACAGTATAAGTCACAGATTTTTCTCTGTAGAGTTTTGTAACAGACTACTCAAAAAGATCGCAATCAATACACTCACCTGAAACATTAAGTATGCATCTGCAGCGCAAGGGCCAAGACCTTTAGGTGCTTGATTCGTTGGAATTTTTAGTTCCTCTAGATTAACTTCATCAGAGTCCTGCTGATCAGGACTTTGCTCGTCCTCGGCAACCACTCTCTCAAATACCAGGGAAACTAATTGTCTTACAGTAGCACCAGCTGTGTTTATTGTTGTACAGTCTTTTGTGAAGTGTAACCGAAAGCAGAGCACCAAATTCTGCAGACAGATATAATATAGTGCAATCATCCAGAATATTTTATGGAAGAAAACATTGATGTATATAGATAGATTCTCACTCTTGCAAGGGTATCTCCATGTACTACAGCATTACTAGTAAGTAGTAAAGTTACTGTCTGCAAAACTTTAACTTCTTCTGTACCCGATTCCATTAACAGCCATAAAGTATCTGTGATGTATCGTGCACCTTTCTGATCTACTGCTTGTTGTGTTATTAACCTCTGCATCGTGCCTAAGCAAAACTAAAAAACCAGAAATATTTGTAACAACTTTTATCTTATAAAAATGTTTATCTTTCCATATAGATATGAAATCTAGCTTTTAGTACCTTGATAATTTTTATATCTTTACTCTCACAACCCTGAACCAAAGGATAAAGTATTTGATTGATAACATAATATATCGGTGTCCCTGGGTTACTTGATGCTGCCCTCAATTTTGCAATTCCTTCCTCACATGACTGTAATGAATAAATTAAATTGACTCAAACTTTAATATACATTGTTAATAAATTAAACATTCGTTAACATATATACAACTTTCAAGCTGCAGGTGATTTTCCTTTTACATATCAAAGTATCTCAGAAGATGGGGTAGAAACTGAGCAAGGAACAAAACGAAATATCAAAGCTGTCTGCTTGAAAGTTTAATCTACATCAAGTACGAAAATCGCTGAATTTGCACTACGGCCTACGTACTTCCTTGATCTGCGGATACTTCTTCTTGGTCTCCGAAGCGAGTACCTTGAGGTCCGACTGCAGAGCCTCCAAGAACTTGGAGGCATTTTCCGGGTTACCGCCAACGACGGGGCTCGCCATCGTTGACGATGCTGCCGTTGAAGGCCGTTACTCGGTGTCCTTCAGATCGTCACGATCTCGATCGTTGGGCACATGACAACTCGTCGAAACAAGACGCTAAGCGTCGTCGTGCGCGACGTCCAAACTGTTGTTGCGGGACTGGTATACTTTGCGATGCCAACTGTCGTCGTCGACGGCGATAGGAATAGCGGACAGATGACGATCCATCGAGATCGCCCTCTCGTAGTCGTCGTGCTCAGAGATCACATTGGGCGGGTCATCGCGGCTGTTCATAAACGGCACGATGTGACATGCAAGGTTATTGCCGATGTATCGCGTCGAACTCGTATTATTTATTACCACGAGAAAACTGTTTAATGATCGTGATGATAAATGGCCGTAAGTGTCGTCGCGTAATTATGACTGTGCTACGCTTGTTGCAATCATACGATTGACAGACACGTAGCTATTGGTAGACACGTATGCAACGGTGCGACGCTGTCGTCGCAACGGCTAAGCCGCGTTCATACAACCACCAACGAAATACTTAAGTCCGTTCTTTTTTGGTCTGTTCTTTGTAGCTGCACTGTTGAACTGGTGCAATAAGTTAAAGTGAAACAAGTGATCTGTTCTTTGTAGCTGCACTGCTGAACTAGTGCAATAAGCTAGAGTGAGAAAACCTATATTTGTCTCACTTTAATTTATCGCACCAGTTCAACAGTGCAGCTACAAAGAACAGACCAAAAATATAGGTTTTCTCATTCTAGCTTATTGCACTTCAGCAGTGCAGCTACAAAGAACAGACCAAAATCAGAGAGGAACCTGAGAGCGGCTAAAGCCAACAGCACACGGTGCTTGTTTTCGTGCTGGATTGTTTGCTGGATGAAAATATTGCGTTGTGATTGGTACATTTCCGAAGATGGATGGAAATGCACCAATCAGAACGCAGTATTTTCATCCAGCAAGCAATCCAGCACGAAACAAGCACCGTGTGTCGTTGGCTTAACACGGCGTTTTCGGCGACACCGACTTTTCGCATTGGGAAAAGGCGCTATCTATATTCATTTTAAGAGGGGAATTACGATGCTACATTCACTTTCAGGTCTCGGCGGTAAAACCTGCATGTGGTGGCAGTCCGTGCTACATCCACTTTCAGGCGGTTTATGTCCGTGCTACAACCATAATACATAGGCAGTCTGAAAAGTTCTCGGCCTAACAATGAAAGAAAATTTTTTTTGCCGTGAAATATATTTTATTTTTCAATATAATCACCTAAAATTTCAATACATTTATTCCAACGTTTTTCCAATAATTCAATTACCATTATTAAAGTGTGATTCCGGAAGGTCTGCAAAATATCCACCCACGGCTGCAATAGCTTCATCATTTGATGTAAAATGCTTTCCAGCCAGAAATTTTTTCAGGTTTGGAAACAGATAATAGTCAGAGGGAGCCAAATCTGCTGAATACGCTGGATGTTCAAGCAATTCGTACTTTAAAATTCGTTGAATTTTGCCATTGTCAAAACACTTGTGTGAACACGTGCATTGTCTTGATGGAAAACGGTTCTTTTCTTCTTTAAAGCAGGTCTTTTCTCACGAATTTTTGCATCCGGTAATTAGTTGCCAACTCGAAGTATGAAGGTAGATTGGGTTGAGACAAACATAAAAGTCCCATACCGTTTTGCAAGATTCGCAATAATTATCGAGTTATTAATGACAGAAATCTGAGGAGTGGAAGCACGCCGACATAGGTGATTGGAGAAACCTTGCAGTTGCTCAGGGCAGCGATCATGTATCTTTTCCCCAGCGTGAACTAGTGGAAAGTGAAAGACTTCTGTCAATTAGTGAAAAATGAAACATTTTAGATGAATTTGTCAAATCGAAACATTTCACACGACAACCGAGTTATTCAACATGACAGTAATTGAAGAACGATGACAATACCGACTGTTTTAACTACGATGAAGATAACGCGAAAGTTTAAACCATACTATATTTCGATTACTAATACGATACAAATTCCTAACGACATAGAAATATCCTTATAAATGTATCGTTACTACAATAAGTCTGTTGCGTTGCTTTAACGTTTCTCACTTCTTGCTTCCTTCAACATTCGAATATGCTTCTGTCTCGTTTTAGATATAAAAAGTACGAAAAGTTGAAGCAACACGACAAACCTAACAAAAGCTGCAAGAAATAAAGCATCAGTGCGCAATGTGACGTAATCAAAAGACTGCACAACAATATCACCAAGTAATTAAAATCCTTTTTAAAAGAGGTACGACAGTTTGCGACACTCGCGCACCCAACCCCATCGCCGTCGGTTTCCCGGGTAACGAAGGCATCGCGTGGACGCACAACAATGAACAGAGACTTCGCCGAACGAAGAACAACGTAGCGCCGTCAGCAGCATGCCCTACGTCGAGCAACTGCCGTTGTCCGGCAAGGATATCGTGGTGCTGACTAAGTTGCCGATGATCTTGAAGCAGTTCTGTAAAGCCGCCATACCGATGTGAACTTTGCGCCCAACTTTAAAAAACTTTTTAAATGTTTATATCATAGGTTTGTATCTCGTTTGTACCTGTTTGTACCACATTTCATTTCGTTTGTACCTAAAGGGTTAAAAAATTATAGAAGGATAAAAAATCGCCAGCGCCCAACTTTAAGATATTTAAAAACGGCCAACGCCATTCGAAAGAGCATCGTCTGTACCCGTTTGTATCTCCCTTCAAATCGTTTGTACCTCAAAGGGCTCGGAAGTACAGAATACTCTTTCGAATGGCGTTGGCCGTTTTCAGATATCTTGAAAAATAGCGGAAGTACCTTCAGCGTGTATTTTGAAAAGCCTATACTTCCGAGCCTTTTGAGGTACAAACGAAATAAAATGTGGTACAAACAGGTACAAACGAGATACAAACCTATGATATAAACATTTAAAAAATTTTTTAAATGTGGGCGCTAAGTTCACATCGATAGCCGCCATCCGTACGTAGCCGTATGATCTGCTCAAGTGGTCCAGCTCATATTTTCGCACGTTGGCGGACAGCGTGGAGCCGCCGGCTAAGTCACGACTGGAATATCTGCCGCCAAGTACCGCCAAGTACCGCCTCCGGTCTGACTCTGGGCTTCCTCAGGGTACTGTTGCGACATTGGAAGTAGACATCGCTCTGGGACGTTCCTCAATTGACGAAGAAGAACAAGAGGAAAGAAAGGCCGCTTTTTTAAAAAATTTAAAATTCGCAAGTAAAGTTCTGCTTGCGTTTCTCTTCGACCTTGTCATTTATAATTTGTACCATTAATTACAAATAGTAACTCTTTTGCTATTATTATTTTAACAATATATACAAAACACGATGATTTGAAATTTTATTAATTACAAGTTCAAGGAGAAATACAAGCAAGAAGAAAACTAAACGAAAAAAATACGAGTAAAATTTTGTTTTAGATTCTGTCACGAATTTTAAATTATCTTAAAGTAGGCTTATACTCTTGATATAACATTCCAACATATTCATTACTTCTCGTTGCAGATTACAATATAACTCTATCCTTGGAGGCGATCGCACGTTGTTGGGATTGTCTCTGCTTGAATCGTCGGGACTTTCAGACGATCACGACGATCGACCAGTTTCGCCGTAACTGCCAAATGAAGAGGTTCCTGGCTATCGCTGTGGGTCTCATTGCCGGCAACCTCACTGAGACGATGATCATGGTCTGCCAGTTGTTCAACCACGAGCCCGACGGTGGTTCCGCGATTCCGCTCAGTTTACTCATACAGATATACGAGTAAGTGCCCGGAGAACACGAACATGTTTTAAGACGTCTTGAAGACGTTACTGAGAAACAATGAGACATCTCTTGGACACGCATATTGCACGAGGAGTTGACAAGCCGACGGAACAGCGACAGACGCTCTTCCGACTCTTCTCCCGACTGAACGTAACTTTTATTTAATAGTTATGATCGACAGGTACCTGGCGAGATTGGTGTGTGACGGTAACGAGAAGAGTTCCTGCGACGAGGAGACAAGCACACGCAAAGACAGCTCTATCCATCACACATCCTCTGTGAACAGCCAGGATACCGACGCGGACGTTAATCTGGAGTCAATGTCGAAGGACGAGGTCGACTCGTACTCAAAGAGACTCGTACTCAAAGAGTACGTTGTCCTCTTCGTCAATGTTCTCTAGCATTGAGTTGTCATACCGAGTTCCTCTCACGTATTCGTATTTTCCTCCGGCAGCTGATCTATCGACGGAACCGATGGAAAGCAGTTCGTTGGACAGGGAAGAGAAACTGGGCGCTTCGATCGGCAGGGATCGCGCGGATAAGAGTACCACGTGTGGCTGGAGTTTGGGGCACGAAGGACGCAAGCAACAGCGACGGGAGTATTCTCCAGAACCGAGAATGATGCGGAACTACGTATCGCCTGAATGTGCCCGGTAAGCGAACGGATATTTCCCGTCAAATGTACTCTTGGAGAAATCCATCAATCGTGAGCTTGTAATATTGGATAAGACAAGTTTGGCTTTGGATTTCCTCGACGGCAGTATTCTACGAGAGAAATATGACACTTAAAATTACCGATTCTTCAGATTTCGAACGTTTAAATAGTTTTATTTTCAGTTACTTTCACATATCTCTTGAGTCGTCGATCTTTGATGGAAAATCATACATTTTTAGAATCATGGATTTAAAAGTTATAAATTTATATAGTTATAGATAAAATCATAATTAGGATCAGATCTGAAAATGGATGTCAGCAATCGAAGTGAACTTTTCGAACATGCAGCCAATGCATACAGGCCTGACCGATTATTTCAACAATCTGGCGAAATCCGACTGAACCTGAAATTCAAAATGCATGTATAAGAGCGCGTCTGTCAGCCGAACAAGTTGCGAGCGTAGTGGATGACAGACTGCGCAAGACTACAGGAAGGTATGGTTGGTCGTCGAAATCCGATACACGGAGTGCTCACCTATGCACCAGCGAGTGACGTCGGATTCGTGATGACGAGCATCGCACGGGTACATGTGGAGCGCGGCTGCGATATGGAAGCGCTGTACATAACTCGCAGAAGATCGCGGCTTCGACGGTTTTCCGTTAGAATCGAACTCTTTATTAAAATTTAGTTACAAAGTTGTTGGTTCGCTGTATAACAAAGGAATAACATTTTATCTAGTTTTAGAAAACAACACTGGAAGCTCTTACCGGATAGAGATCCCTCCTCTTGCCTCATCCTGATACTATCCGATTCAGAAACATTTAACCGTAGTACTTGACTAATATCTCATCCGTATAGTCGGATAATTCTCACACAAGAAGAGTAAGTAGCTCTCGAATTCTGCAGAGCTTCCGCATGTGATCGGAGAGCATGTGATAGAACGTGAGAGCCAGCAACAGAGTCACCAGGCACAGCAGCAGATTCCCGGCCTTGGGGCAACTCGCCTTTCACTTGAACAAATGGTACAAAAATGCGAGAAACGGCTCCGAAACTGCGCCGAGAACTCGAAGGTCCCACGCAGCAGATAGAGGGAGCGATAGAAGTCATTCAGCAGAGCATGAACTATCTCGTTCTCGGAGTGCCGGCCGGAATCCATGTCGTTCAAGCAAATTAACTTCCTGGAAGCAGGCAAGACTGTGAACAGAAATTTCAAGAGAGCTAAAGCGGAGATTAGTTGACACGTTGAATCCAATCTTCCATTCCTGATTGAATTCTGATCCTCACATCTCAGCCGGAGATTACGCGTTTCTAAGATATAAGCCACGAAAGATGGAAAACTGACAGGCATGAAAATAAAATATTAAATATGGAAATATGTATAATCAGGTTTTAATATAGATCAAAAATAAGAAAGATCCTCGCAAATTAGAACAAGGTGCGCGTATTCGTTATCGAAAAATTAAAGTGGAAAGTTCAAGGCCGACCGGAGCGAAAATAACGTGTCACCAGGTATAAGCTACAACATCATTTGCTGTAGGACGTTAATCTAGGTTCGAAATATGATTGATCCGTGCAAACCACATCGAGCTGAGATCACGCGTTTCCAAGATATAAGCCACGAAAGATGGAAAAATGACAGGCATGAAAATGAAATATTAAATATGGAAATATGCGTAATAAGGTTTCAATCTAGACCCAAAATAAGAAAGATCTTCGCAAATTAGAACAATGTGCGCGTATTCCTTATGGAGAAACTAAAGCGGAAAGTTCAAGGCCGACCGGGGCGAGAATTACGTGTCACCGGGTATAAGCTACAAAATTATTTGCTGTAAGACGTTAATCTAGGTTCGAAATATAACTGATCCGTGCAAACCGCATCGAGCTGAGATCACGCGTTTCCAAGATATAAGCCACGAAAGATGGAAAAATGACAGGCATGAAAATGAAATATTAAATATGGAAATATGCGTAATAACGTTTTAATCTAGACCCAAAATAAGAAAGATCTTCGCAAATTAGAACAAGGTGCGCGTATTCGTTATCGAGATATTAAAGCGGAAAGCTCAAGGCCGACCGGAGCGGAAATAACGTGTCACCGGATATAAGCTACACAATTATTTATTGTAAGACGTTAATCTAGGTTCGAAATATAATTGATCCGTGCAAACCGCATCGAGCTGAGATCACGCGTTTCCAAGATATAAGCCACGAAAGATGAAAAACTGACAGGCATGAAAATGAAATATTAAATATGGAAATATGCGTAATAACGTTTTAATCTAGACCCAAAATAAGAAAGATCTTCGCAAATTAGAACAAGGTGCGCATATTCGTTATAGAGAAATTAAGGCAGAAAGTTCAAGGCCGACCGGGGCGAAAATTACGTGTCACCGGGTATAAGCTACAAAATTATTTGCTGTAAGACGTTAATCTAGGTTCGAAATATGATTGATCCGTGCAAACCGCATCGAGCTGAGATCACGCGTTTCCAAGATATAAGCCACGAAAGATGGAAAAATGACAGGCATGAAAATGAAATATTAAATATGGAAATATGCGTAATAAGGTTTTAATCTAGACCCAAAATAAGAAAGATCTTCGCAAATTAGAACAAGGTGCGCGTATTCGTTATCGAGAAATTAAAGCGAAAAGTTCAAGGTCGACCGGAGCGAAAATAATCGTGTCACCGGATATAAGCTACAAAATTATTTGCTGTAAGACGTTAATCTAGGTTCGAAATATGATTGATCCGTGCAAACCGCATCGAGCTGAGATCACGCGTTTCCAAGATATAAGCCACGAAAGATGGAAAAATGACAGGCATGAAAATGAAATATTAAATATGGAAATATGCGTAATAAGGTTTTAATCTAGACCCAAAATAAGAAAGATCTTCGCAAATTAGAACAAGGTGCGCGTATTCCTTATGGAGAAACTAAAGCGGAAAGTTCAAGGCCGACCGGAGCGAAAATTACGTGTCACCGGGTATAAGCTACAAAATTATTTGCTGTAAGACGTTAATCTAGGTTCGAAATATGATTGATCCGTGCAAACCGCATCGAGCTGAGATCACGCGTTTCCAAGATATAAGCCACGAAAGATGGAAAAATGACAGGCATGAAAATGAAATATTAAATATGGAAATATGCTAATAAGGTTTTAATCTAGACCCAAAATAAGAAAGATCTTCGCAAATTAGAACAAGTGCGCTATTCGTTATGAGAAATTAAAGCGAAAGTTCAAGGCCGACCGGAGCGAAAATTACGTGTCACCGGGTATAAGCTACAAAATTATTTGCTGTAAGACGTTAATCTAGGTTCGAAATATGATTGATCCGTGCAAACCGCATCGAGCTGAGATCACGCGTTTCCAAGATATAAGCCACGAAAGATGGAAAAATGACAGGCATGAAAATGAAATATTAAATATGGAAATATGCGTAATAAGGTTTTAATCTAGACCCAAAATAAGAAAGATCTTCGCAAATTAGAACAAGGTGCGCGTATTCGTTATCGAGAAATTAAAGCGGAAAGTTCAAGGCCGACCGGAGCGAAAATTACGTGTCACCGGGTATAAGCTACAAAATTATTTGCTGTAAGACGTTAATCTAGGTTCGAAATATGATTGATCCGTGCAAACCGCATCGAGCTGAGATCACGCGTTTCCAAGATATAAGCCACGAAAGATGGAAAAATGACAGGCATGAAAATGAAATATTAAATATGGAAATAAGCTTAATAAGGTTTTAATCTAGACCCAAAATAAGAAAGATCTTCGCAAATTAGAACAAGGTGTGCGTATTCGTTATCGAGAAATTAAAGCGGAAAGTTCAAGGCCGACCGGAGCGAAAATAACGTGTCACCGGGTATAAGCTACAAAATTATTTGCTGTAAGACGTTAATCTAGGTTCGAAATATGATTGATCCGTGCAAACCGCATCGAGCTGAGATCACGCGTTTCCAAGATATAAGCCACGAAAGATGGAAAAATGACAGGCATGAAATGAAATATTAAATATGGAAATATGCGTAATAAGGTTTTAATCTAGACCCAAAATAAGAAAGATCTTCGCAAATTAGAACAAGGTGCGCGTATTCGTTATCGAGAAATTAAAGCGGAAAGTTCAAGGCCGACCGGAGCGAAAATTACGTGTCACCGGGTATAAGCTACAAAATTATTTGCTGTAAGACGTTAATCTAGGTTCGAAATATGATTGATCCGTGCAAACCGCATCGAGCTGAGATCACGCGTTTCCAAGATATAAGCCACGAAAGATGGAAAAATGACAGGCATGAAAATGAAATATTAAATATGGAAATATGCGTAATAAGGTTTTAATCTAGACCCAAAATAAGAAAGATCTTCGCAAATTAGAACAAGGTGCGCGTATTCGTTATCGAGAAATTAAAGCGGAAAGTTCAAGGCCGACCGGAGCGAAAATTACGTGTCACCGGGTATAAGCTACAAAATTATTTGCTGTAAGACGTTAATCTAGGTTCGAAATATGATTGATCCGTGCAAACCGCATCGAGCTGAGATCACGCGTTTCCAAGATATAAGCCACGAAAGATGAAAAACTGACAGGCATGAAAATGAAATATTAAATATGGAAATATGCGTAATAACGTTTTAATCTAGACCCAAAATAAGAAAGATCTTCGCAAATTAGAACAAGGTGCGCGTATTCCTTATGGAGAAACTAAAGCGGAAAGTTCAAGGCCGACCGGAGCGAAAATTACGTGTCACCGGGTATAAGCTACAAAATTATTTGCTGTAAGACGTTAATCTAGGTTCGAAATATGATTGATCCGTGCAAACCGCATCGAGCTGAGATCACGCGTTTCTAAGATATAAGCCACGAAAGATGGAAAAATGACAGGCATGGAAATGAAATATAAAATATGGAAATATGCATGATAAGGTTTTAATCTAGGCCCAAAATAAGAAAGATCCTCGCAAATTAAACAAGGTGCGCGTATTCGTTATCGTGAAATTAAAGCGGAAAGTTCAAGGCCGACCGGAGCGAAAATGACGTGTCACCGGGTATAAGCTACAAAATTATTTGCTGTAAGATGTTAATCTAGGTTCGATATAAGATTGATCCGTGCAAACCGCATCGAGCTGAGATCACGCGTTTCTAAGATATAAGCCACGAAAGATGGAAAAATGACAGGCATGGAAATGAAATATAAAATATGGAAATATGCATGATAAGGTTTTAATCTAGACCCAAAATAAGAAAGATCTCGCAAATTATAACAAGGTGCGCGTATTCGTTATCGAGAAATTAAAGCGGAAAGTTCAAGGCCGACCGGAGCGAAAATGACGTGTCACCGGGTATAAGCTACAAAATTATTTGCTGTAAGATGTCAATCTAGGTTCGATATAAGATTGATCCGTGCAAACCGCATCGAGCTGAGATCACGCGTTTCTAAGATATAAGCCACGAAAGATGGAAAAATGACAGGCATGGAAATGAAATATAAAATATGGAAATATGCATGATAAGGTTTTAATCTAGACCCAAAATAAGAAAGATCTTCGCAAATTATAACAAGTGCGCGTATTCTTTATGAGAAATTAAAGCGAAAGTTCAAGGCCGACCGGAGCGAAAATGACGTGTCACCGGGTATAAGCTACAAAATTATTTGCTGTAAGATGTCAATCTAGGTTCGATATAAGATTGATCCGTGCAAACCGCATCGAGCTGAGATCACGCGTTTCTAAGATATAAGCCACGAAAGATGGAAA